AAACTTTCAAAAATATATATTATATAGTTTGAAATTTTTTTAAAAACATATATATAGTTTTTCAAAAAAATATTTTTAAAATATATATAATATATAGTTTTTGAAAACATATGTTGTATAGTTTTTGAAAATGTTTTAAAAACTATAAAATATTTTGAAAACATATATAGTTTTTAAAACATTTTTGAAATCATATATATAATATATATTTTTTGAAAAACATTTTTTTTAAAATAAGGTTTTGAAAACTTTTTTATTATTTATTTATTTATTTATTTTTATTTTCATTATTATTATTATTATTTATTATTATTATTATTATTTATTTCTATATTTTTTTCAGGGGTCCAAAATCCGGGTCCAAGGTGCGATCCAACAGTAGCCCAACCGGGTTTGGGTCTGACCCAGCCCAAACCCGATTAGGGTTTCACACATCCCAGTCAGGCACCGCATAGGAGGGAAACATAAAGTTTCAGAAGCATGAACCAACAGTCACAAACGGCGCGAGATTTCTGGCCGGGGAAATCGAGATTGACCCATCCCGAAATCCACGGTCAACGACGAGTATACCATGATAGCCGAAGCTAACAGACCACCGGTGAGGTGTATAAATACCCCCACCAAGCCACTTCCAAGGGGTACCATCATCGATCAACAGCCACAAAGACAGTGAACCATCGCAACCCATCAACACCAAAACATAAAACCAAAATCCACCACAACAACCAAAAGTCAAAACAAAACACAAAGAAACACAAAAAATACAAAAAAAACGATCGAGAGCCGAGCAAAGCGGGAAGCAAGCACATCAGGAAAGTGAAGTGTCTCGCCGAAAAAAGGTAAAGGCCGAGTTTTTTTTGTAGATCTACGCGATTCGGACTTGGTTACGGTGAATCGGGGTTCGGTTTCAGTTTGAGCGTGATGAGAGTGTCATTTGGTGAGGTTTTGGCATTTTCCGGCTGCCACAGGCGACGGCCGGAGTGGCGGTGTCACGGCCTTCGAGGAAGGGAGAGAGCTATAGAGCTTTTCTTGTGTAAAGGGGGAGGTTTTTGTGAGAAATAGTGAGAATGGATGGAAAATGGGTCTTTTGGCCCATTTATATACGAGGGACCATTGTGCAAATAGAGGATTTTTAAATCCTCTCCGCAGTCCCTCGTACTTTGATTCGCTTTTGCAATTCAGTCACCAATTGTAATTTGGCCTCAGAATTTTCAATCTAATCAATTTGATCCTGGTTTATATTTTTATATTTTGGTGAATTGGCCTCTCACCTTTTATTTTTATTTTGCAGATCATTTTTCTAATACCAATTTAACCCATTAATTCCAATTTGTTTCAATTTAATCCTCTAAGTTTTATTTTATCATTATTATCTTTTTTATTTTGTTCATGTTGTTTTTATTTTATTGATTTCAAACTTTAACTTTTTTTTTATTCCTTTACTATTTTCTTTTTAAATTATCATATTTTATTCTATTTTTATTTATCATTTTTTTACTTATTCATTTTTTATTTATTTTTTTCCAACTTATTTAATTTTTTAATTTTTATTTTTCTTTATTTTGATTTGTTATTTTTTGATTTGTTTATTATTATTATTATTATTTCTCTAACATTTTCGATCTTCTTTTTTAGAAGAATTCCATCCAATCAAAGGTAAGTAATTTGAATCGGGTTTTTAAGTTTTAATTTAAATTTCCAATTTTCGCAATTAAAGACAACCGATAAATGAATGGGTTTTTAAGTTTTAATTTAAATTTCCAATTTTCGCAATTAAAGACAACCGATAAATTAATTGGTACCGAAAGGGCGGTTCAAGGGTACTAATCATTCCTTGATCGTAACCGACTCCCGAACTCAACACCATTTCTGGTAAAACGCATATCAGGTAAGATGGTGTCCGATCCGCCTAAATGTTTAAGTGATCGGTGGCGACTCTAACACATTCATTCAAGTCAAAACCAATTTCGGGCCCAACCGAAAAACGTTTCCAACATTAAGATTTTGCATCGAGTTCGATTAGAATAAATTCAAATAAAGTAATAACTAAATTTTAACCGAATTAAGTTTGGAGCTATTGAAGTCGGTTAGTATCCCTATAGAATATATGCATATATGGTAGCTAGCGTTAAATGTAGTTGTGGCTTTAGAGAGTTGAAGATGGATTTCAATGTACAAAAAATAATCCCCCCCCCCCCCGAGCTTATTTCAAGTGTTCAATGGCTCCCGGATGCCCTGCACACTCTCACACACACAATAGTGATATTTTATGCTCAAACTGTAAAATTTGGTGATTGTTATATGAAGACATTGAAAAATGAATTACAATCTCATCATCTTTGTTTTAAGTTTAATGATACTTGGAAGACAAATTTTCTATCCCTGACTTGAATTATTTCTTTTTTAAATAAAATTCTTTTTATTTTTGTACATCCGTTTGTTTAGTTTCTTTATAATACTTTATCCATGGTGATAATTATTTTGTAGTTTGTTCTTAAATATACTTGACAATATTACACGTGACACGAAAAATCTAACACCCCGAAACTTGGATTAGTAAATCAGGTTAACCTGAGACTCAAAGTTTGAGTTACATGTATCTTAAAGTATAGTAGACCAAGTTTATTGTTTTTGGGCTTGAGTTAGGGCCCAAGAGTTTTGGTGGTTGGTTATGGGTGTTGTGTAAATTAGAAATTTGGGGACTAAAAGTGCAGTTTACCCATGGTTAATTTTGAAAGTTGAAAACCCTCTCATGTATTATGTTTTTACGTGAACCACTCCCCTTATCTTCTCACCAAATGCTCTTCTTCTTTCTTCCATAATTTCTTTCTTCCCTCTTCCATTCCAAGTGGGAGTTCAAACATTTAAAGTCTAGTGTGGTGAAACTAAGGTGAGAATGTCAATCTTCATCCTCCAAGCTTTGTTTTAAGTTCCATTTCATTAGTTTTTATGCATAGAACTAAAAATGGTTCTTGAGAGATTTGTGGGAATCCATTGATTCTAGCTAAGTTTTGAGTTATAGGGAGTTTGTTTGGATGTTATTCAACTCCTAGATGGATTGGTAATCCATTTTCTTATTTTGTTTAGTGAAGGAGATAGGAGAAAGTTCAAGAGCTAAAGGAAAATAAAAGTTAAATCTTGAGTGAGTTGAGAAAGTTTCTAGCCATCCAAATAGCAAGCTCACATCTTTACAACTCTTCTATACTCTTAGTGAGTTATTAGAAGTTCAACATAGTTTAAATGTTTGAGTTGAGCATGATAAGCATTTTCATGGTGAAATTCTTGTCTTAGAGTTATAAATGTGTTTAAAGCCTCTAATATGACCCTTGTTGATCAAATAAAATTTTAATCATGTTTGAGGACCTCAATAAGGTCTTTAGGATTGAAAATAGAGTTTTTCATACTTGTTTTATGACTTATGCATGTAGAATATCGATACTATAGGGATAATATCGATACTTGTTCTTCGTTTTTGGATAAAATCGTGTTTTATGGGTAGGAGTATCGAAACTCTTTAAAGAGTTTCAAAACTTTGAGTCATAGTTTCGAAACTCCCAGAAAGCATTGACACTGAGCAGTTCAGAATGCTTAAAAGTATAGATACTTATATAAAGTATCAAAACTTTTGTAGGAGTATCGATACTCTTGGGCTAGTATCGATACTTTCAGTATGTTTTGGGGGAAAAGACAGTTTTTAAGGAAATTAGACTCGAGGAACCCCCAATATTTATTTATATCATCAAATAAGACTACAAGTGAAAATATTAACGATATTAATATTACACTTAGAAACAAGATCAATTAGGATGACATAAAAATAATCTTGGATGATGCTCGGGAAACGATCAGGACACCTGAGTTCCTTTAGAAAATGTTAGCATTATCGAAAGTATAGATTTAATCTGGATATATACTTAGGTAGTGTCTGAGGCACTTAAAGCTAACTAGCTTGGGCGCAAGGTCCGACACTCAAGGAGTGAGATAGTCGAGGGGATTAACCGATGCAGAGATTCTGGGAAACCAGCCTTGGTAGACTAGAGGGGTGTGTGAGCTCTGAGATGCAGAACCCTCAGTCGCACCATGATATCTACTATAGAGTAGAGAGTGCAGTATACGAGTATACTCACTATTGCAGTTATCAGTTAGCTTGTGCATGACATGAACACTTTTAGTATGGCTTAGTTGTTAGTGTGGCACTGGGCTAGTTAGCTCAGAGTTTGGAATTTGTTTCCTTACGCAGGTTAGCCGAGGAGCAGTCCGAGGACTTTTTGACACCAATGATCCAAACCAAGATAGTGCATAGTACATCTCGAGTTTATCTTTAAAGGACATGTATAATTGTAAACCTCAATTTGTCTATTTTTGTATGAGTCGTAATTCATTTTAAAATATGGTCTGCATGATTTAAATATTAGTTTGAAAGCTCCTAATGTAAACTATTTTATTTAAATTGTGGTTGATTTATTTTAGCATGAGTGGTTACAAATGGTCGTTTTAAAACGGAAAAAAATTGAAAGAGAAGTTTGGTTAGCCACTCCGGTGGTTCCGTGTGACATTATTATTGGTCGACTATGCATCTTACTGATTTAGGGTGTTAAAAAATATTTTAATTATATTAATAATATGTGTATTTATTTTCTAAAACATTATTTAATATATTATCTATATGAACAATATGTTTAGCGTAATATTCAGTAGAACGAATTCTATAAACTTCTATACGAATATTTCTTATTTTAATAATAAAAGTTAACCTTGTTTAAAAATAATTATAACAAATACGATTTAATAAAAGAATCTTACATCCTACTAACCAAACATCATCTTATATTTCGGACCAAATGAACCACAGCTACTATAAGTTAAAATAACATTCATGTGAAGTAATCTTATTATTCAAGAAAATAATATCATATTTCGTGAACCAAACGTTTCTTAATAAAAATCAAATATTTCTTCTTCTTCTTGGTGTTTTTGGTGAGTTTAATGTTAAGTTCCTTAAAAATCTCATAGTTTCCCAAGAAAGAAATGTTTCACATAAAAGGTTCTCTCAATGCTGTTGGCAGAAGCAATTCGGGCTCTAATTCCCCAAGTGGGGTGAAATAGTACTCCACCATGTCTTTGCTCACCTCTTCCAGCCTTGGAGGATCCCACTGCAAATGGATCACACACAAACATTCCAGTAACGATATAGACGCGTGCATGTGCGTATGAGTGTGTGCGCGCGCGTATGCATGTGCATGTGCATATGCATATGCATATGCGTGTGGCGTGCAGCGCGCATGCATGTGGGCACAAGTCTATGGCGTGTATATTAACATAATACCTTGGGAGCAAAATCTTTGTCCACTAACCGAGCCCGAACGCCCTATACAAACAGCTCGATTAAGCTCACAGATTTTTCTCTTTATATAAAAGGAGAAATATAAAGATCATACCTCGAAGAAATCATTAGAGACCTGTTTGGAGATCCCAGCAAGGGACATCCTATATTCTCGTGCTAGACACTGATCAAGAGATTGAAATCTACCTTCTCGTATCTAATTCGACAAAGAAACCGAAGAGTGCAGTTAGCAGCCAAGAATGGAATTTAAAGCAGTTGTAAGCACTGAGTTGCTTACAGATCGTAGAGTGACTTTCAAGCTCAATGGTGAGGCTTCCTTCATTTTTCCGAGCATGGTCTTGCACCAATCATCATAGGTTCCACCTGCCTCGGTTTCCTGAATGAATGAATTTTTGAAACATTAAATGGCACATGCATCCAAGAGTCTATATGAACAGCATACACGACTACATAGAATTAAGCTTACCAGAGAATCAATAATTTCCTCAACGGTGTCATGGCAGAAACATTTATCGATCGTCTCAATCCTGAAACAAAAATCAGGTGATAACGCAAGACAAATATAGAAACTGTCCTCAAGTGCCATTGTCCCTTAAACAACGATTACCTGTGAAGAATACTGCTCCTATCTGGATAAACAATGTCACCGTACTGTGCAAGAGAAGACACGATGGCAGTAGGGTCATCGTTCATCAAGCTACCCAGATGTTCTTCAATCCAAGCAAGTCGCTGTCACGGACAGCTCATTCAAATAAGACAAGAAAAGAGGAGCCGGAGAAAAAGCACAAATGCATATGGAAGAGCAGAAAGAACAAACAGCATTTAAACAATAGTGGGTAGCCAGGCCACAGGCAATCATTTCGATGCCATTAAGCTTTTCTCCCGTTAGTGCTAAGCATTCCCCTGTTGGAAACAGTACACATGACTTGTTAAGATGAATGGAATGTATATACCCAGATACAAGCAAATATTCTGGACAAATGAAACATTCTTACATCTAAACTAGAAAATTATATGAAATAATTAAGCTTTGTATATCACGGAGTTTAGCTACATATTTGAAAACTTATTGAAACGGTCATCACCTAAGTAACCAGGTAGGCGAGAAAGATAAAATGAAGCCCCTGCATCCGGATGGAACCCCAATTGAGTCTCTGGATGAGAAAAAGCCTGAAAATGTTTTGGGTGATAAGACAGTTATACAAGTCCAGAAACTTGAAAGGACAAATATGGGGGCAAAGGGATAGGGGAGGATTATGTGTTCGATTTATATTCCTGAATTTGAACCATCATTCATCCAAATGATCTCCGATTTTCTTTATCGAAGGCAGCAGTAATATCATAGTATATATCTCAAACAAATACAAGAAGAGAAGAATGGTTGTGTTTCATCCAAATGATATCACCCTCCCTTCTTGATGTTGTCTCATTCAGTAGCATGAAGTGGTTGTGTTTCATTCTAGTAAAAAAAGTTTCATCCAAATGATATCACCCTCCCTTCTTGATGTTGTCTCATTCAGTAGCATGAAGTGGAATTTATAGTGCATTGAAGGTATGCCAATCATAAGAAACATAATGAACCGGATCAGTACACAAATTCTATTACAAGAATTTTTTGTGAAGGTATGGATCACATACAGTTTTATCAGTCACTAAACGAAACATCCCTGGGAGAGACATTCCACCTCCACATCCCATCGTTATACCATCCAAGATTGCCACCTGCGTGTATGGGCAGTACACATTATTATCACAAGTCTCATATGCACCAAAACAATTCAGAAGTACTTCATATGGTATCCATCACTCAAAGGTTAAATTCTCACATGTGGCTTCAAATATGTTCCTTGTATGTATACGAACTTATACAGCGTCTCAAAAAAACTTTTACATTCTTCAACGTTCCCTGCACAGATATAAGAACTTGAACCATGAATCACTATCTATTCAAAAGCTAGAACTTAGTCGTAATTATGAGACCAATAGAGCAATTTAATTGGAAGGAAATTCCATCGAGATGTTTGATGTGATATATTAAGGTATCAATTAAAAATAGCTTGGAACACTCAAACACTCATATGTTCATTAAAATTCCCGCCCATCTAAGTTGCTCTTAGTTCAAATTGGTCATAACGAACCCCATAGTCGAGTTGCACTTAGTTTAAACTGTCGAAACAAGTGACTAAACAAAAATGATAGGTGGCTAACCTTCATTAAGTGAGTGATAGAGAGAAACAGCATCAACACCAGAACAGAAAGCCCTGCCACTACCCTTCAATAAATTTCAAAACAAAAGCTTAGACAAAAACAAAGGTCGAATCCGAAATGTCAAGGGCATGAAGAAATTCCAATTACAGAAGACAAATCCAATGTTATATACCTTCAATAAGACAAATCCAATGTCGGGGTTCTCTTCCCACGATTCATACAATTTCTTCAACCGAGATGCCTATATATCCAAAAACAACTTTAATTTATTCAAGACTGGAAACTAAAAAGGTATGGACTTTAAGATTACTAAGTAAGAAGAAAAGAGAAAGTGCAAGAAATTAACCATTGAGTTGGTAAGTGGGTTGAGAGCAGAAGGTCTATTGAGAATGGCTGTTCTTGATTTAGCTCTTCCTTCCACTAAAACCTGAAAAAAATAAGCAAACTTTGACACAAAACATGCACTAGTGTCTTCCATTTTTCTCGGAAAAATCACAAATTTAACCTAAAAAACATACTTTACACGAATAACAATAAACCCAGAAAAAAAAACAATAAATTTCTCAAAGACCTGGTCTTGGAAATCATCATATGGGGCGTAGAGTGGCTGAGCAGAGAAGCATCTTTGATGGGGGAGAAACCCAAGTCTTTGAAATGACTGCTTTGCTTTTATTAAACCTTTAGCTCTCTGCATCTTTTCTCTTCTCCTTCTCTTTCAATGTTCCTTTGCGTCTGAGCTATGGAGAACTGTTGTTTGTTGTCTTTCGCACAGTTGAGGTTTTGGGGTTTATGTATCGAGGATTGATCGTAGCCGTTGGATTTATTGACTGCCTTAGTCATACCAAAAAAAACTCGGTTCGGTATAAGTGATATGAACGGTACATATTAACAAGCCCACACAGTTAGGGCTAAGCCCTATGAATTCATTCTTGGTTAAACTAATGATTTGGTCCATATACTATACTCATTTAGGATTTAGTCCCTAGATTTTAGTTAGGCATAATTTGATCTTATTCTTTTATAATGTCGTGTAGGGATGGCAAATGAACGGGCAGGCACAGATATCCTTTCCTCTGTCTTCGTACTCGCATATTATTTTTGCATCCACCACCTACCTATCACCTACGATGGGTAAAATTTTAAATTCATATCGGTTCACGTGGGTACATTCTGAAATCTACCCCACACCTACTATCCAACTAGATACCCACCACCCATCTTAGACACGCCTAAAAGCAACCTCACATATTACATAAACAGTGATATTTAATTCTAAAATTATTTATATCCTAAAAAGTAATATCCTATAAAATCTTAAGATTTATACAATAATATCTGAAATTATACTTAAATTCAGAATGATCCAAATTTTATATGATTAATAGTTAGTGGCAAGTGGATGTAGGGCGAGTAATGTCTCAAACTCTTCACCTACTCACTAACCATGGCGGATATAAGTTTTTACATTTACACCCACCCACCCACCCACTACCTACTAAACTTAGGGATTGTTTGTTTATTTCAGAATGATTAAACGTTGAATGATTTAGAGGCTCTGTATGAATTAGCTCTGAATGTGACATGTTATTTGATAATGGCTCTGAATCATTCAGAATGTACTTCTGTGTTGAATCATTCAGCACTGTTTTGTTGAATCAGTCAGCACTGAATCATTCAGAGGTGCGAAACCTGAACGGTTCAACATTTAACACTGAATGGTTCCATTAAGAGACAAACAAACAACCCATTATACTCATTCACACCCCAATTGAAGTGGATACAGTGCAAAATCCATAAAATTATACTCGTCTACGATCCCTAATACCATAGGTTAGTCCTAATAGTAATTTAATTATGATTCTAAAAATTTTAAATCTCGACGCATTAAGATGACTAAAATCATAAATTAATTATTTGATTTTGTTATACTTTTAGAGATAATTTTTTACAATTAACTCTGCCTATTAAAAGTTTCAAATAAATCCTTTCATCAATCAAGATCTCCGGAACTTTATAACTTTTAATTGATCACAATTCCTTGACAAATTTATTGGCAAAACTACAAGATATGCTAGGCCCAAATCTAATGTCAAATAATTAAAATTTATTTGTTTAATTTATATACCTACAAATAATAATTATCACTTTAGATTTTACATTCACACGTTATTGAGATTAATATAAAAAGTCCATCATCGATCGACTCCTCAATTGAAACGCAAAAAGGAAATTTTCCATCTGTTAAAAAACAAAAGCAGCCGAAACTAACACCGGTTCTAGTAATCCCATGAGATTACTAGTGCCAACGTGAGCACGAATGTAAATTTACCCATAAAACACGGAGGAGGCTCGAATGAAAATGGAGAAGGGAGGGAAGGGGAGAGTGATTCCAAAAAAAAGAGAAAAAGAGAGAAGCATTTCGAAAAAACGGAAGAAAAATAAGAAAGGAGAAGAAGCAATTTTCACCGTGTTTGAAGCTAGTCGGGAAGCCAAAGGGTCACTGGATTTTTGAAAGATTTCAAAAGGTATTGCTTTAGATCTAGGGTTTTAGGGTAGGTTTTAGATTGCAAGAGGCTCAGGATCGCATTAAGGAAGAAGATGGGATCATTTTGGGGTATTTTTGGCTGACTATGGCCACCGTAAGCTGCCGTAAATCGCCACCGGCGAGCGGCCGTGAACCGCCACTGATGAACGACAACCTTCTTTCCTGACAATAGGGACTTGAGAGAATTTTCTCTCTTTCTTTAATTTAATGCTGAGGGAATAAAAATGAGATTAGGGCTCTAAAAAGTTATAATGGGGTATTTATATAAAACGCAAAACAACGTCGTTTAAAACTAGGTTTCCCGTGTTTCAGTACATGAGTTAATCCCAGTCCCAGCTATCCTTACTTTGTAACATTTTATTTTAGTCACTAAATACAATTTTTATATATTATTTTTTGATCTTCAAGTTTCTCGATTTTTATATTTTAGCCACTACATGCTTTATTTTTTTTATCTTCAAGACTGTTCAACTATATATTTATTTATTTATTTATACATGTATTTTTTTTGACTGCCAGAGGTCTTCCACGGAAACTGCTCTCAACCTGACGTTGGGGACAGCCTACTACCCTACCTCCCCTTACCCCATTGCATATGGGAATAGGGTTTTGTTCTTGTTGTTGTTAAATATCCTATTTGTTCATTAATTTTGGACTTATTATATATATAAAAAAATTGCATGATTTTTTACTTTAAATCCCTTTTAGTTTGTTGTATAGTCATTTCGGTCACTATTTGATTTTTAATCATTGCGTTTCAACACCTTAATTTCATCCCGCTTCCGCTTTGGTCCCTAAATTAATTTTAGTCCTTCTTTCTTGACTGGTCTGTTCCCGTAATTTTCCATTTATATTTAGACCATTTTTTTTTACATTTTGTTCCTTAGTATACTGTTATTTAGATTTAATTATGCTTCAGTAGGTTTGCTTAATTTCTGTAACTTACATAACGGCTTGTCAAGCGTTAATTTTGCTTCTATCTTATATGTACGTATATTACTAAATATCATTCTATTTAAAAATATATATATTTTTTGAATTATTAATATATATATATATAACACGTTTCATACCCTATATATATTATATTACATATGTGTACATACTTTACTATTTTCATAACCAATATTTATTATATATCTATTTATTACTAGAGATTACTTCCCTTATATATTTATAAATATATACACATATTGTATTTTAAATATAAATATCTGTTTAATATTTGAATATTTATAAAAAAATTAATTGTTTGATTATTCTATGAAAAACTTTTAAAAAAATTAGAGTGTTCTTTCAAAGATTATTCAAATAAAAAAATATTTTGCTAATATTCATTATTTATTTATACTCTTTAAAAATATATAAATATGTTTTATTTTAAATAAAAGTACCCTTTTTATATACACATGTATTTTATAAATAAAATTATTTTCGCAAAAAACAAGTTTTATATATTTTTGTGAATATCCTGAACAAAGAACGGTTCATGAAAAACCTCCAAAATTTCTGAAAATCGATTCCTTGGAACATACGAGTGAAGGAACACCCCATCAATTTGTAAATTTTAATAAATATAATTATTTTGTATGTTAGTTTTTTACTTATTTGTTTTTCATGTTATGTTCCATATTTCATCCATTTCATACATGTCATTTATTATTGTTGCATTTATACTTAATGTATTTTTCAAATTAATCTAAGGTAATGTTGTCGTGCTTCGTGAGTCAATAAAATTACGTCAAATATAATTGAATTTCAATTTATGTTAATTCATATAGAAAAAGAACATCATTTTTAAATAAACCTGAGTGAATCAAATCATTTCTTATCGAGTCAAGTATAAACAAAAGGAGAGAGATTCACTCATTTTTAGTTGAAATGAAAGGATCGTAATTTAAATTTTGGTTTCGAATATATAAAGTTTCACTACTCAGACAACGTTTAGTCGAGAAGTACTAATTTTGGGCGTTGTGGTAATCGACTCTCGAACCTTTTAAAATTAATCTTTAGTAAACACATATCAATTTTTGTAAATCATTTAACTTAAAATTATTTTAAAAGACATTTTTAGGTATTCGACCTACCTAACTCAAAGTCCGATGACGATTCTAAATTTCAAATTAAATGGAAAAACTCATATTTTTTAAAATAAAATCATAATTAATTTTAAATTAATTTATTTATTAAAAATGATTATGATAACTTTATAATCGAGGCAAACATATGGTCCTATATTAAAATATTATCTTTATAATTTTAAGAGTATTAAATTTATAAAATTTTAAAATATAAAATAGATCTTCAATAAAAATATATTAAAAATAAAATATATAATAATTTATAATTTTAAGGAAATTACTATTCCTATTAGGGATGGGGATGGGTCGGGCTGGGTCAGATTTTTGGTCCACCCGACCCGAGAACAATGGCTCCTCCACCAAAAATCCGATCCGACCCAAACCCGACCCGATATATAACTTAAAAACCCGACCCAACCCGATTTAATTTTTCATTTAAAAAAATAAATTTAAAAAAAATTAAAAAAATGAAAACACAAGAAATCAAATAAATTATAATAAAATCGAACTCTTTTACAAATAAACTGGAAAAAATAAAGTAAAAATGTAAAATTAATTAATAGAAACAAAAATAAACATATTATAATAAAAGCAGCATGCAACACAAAAAAAATATGCAACAAAAATTAAGCTTAAATAAGTTCAATTCAGAGGCTAAAGATGCAAAAGGATGAACTAGAATTCAATTTAGAAAACAATCCTCTAAAGAAAAACATCATGCAACATATCCATACTTAAAATACATGTTCACATTTAAAATTATAAATATATACTATACTTAAATAAATTCAAAGTTCAAACATAATTATAATAAAACGAGACATAAATACGGATGTCCGATGAAAAAAAATCCTCCATTATCATCGACTTCACAAGTTCACATTCTTCAATCTTAGCTAACCACTCAAATCCTATAAAATAAAATTATAAATTAATATTTAAAAATAAGATTATAATAAAAGTAGCAAATATGAAATTATTACTTACCGTTATCTCCATCTTGTTTGATTTCATCATCTTCATAAAAGTTTTCTAAAAGTGTTGAACTAATTAAACTTCAATTTTTTAAATGAAAAATGTGATAATCATTGACTTGTTATACTTACAGAGCAATTAAACTTTACTCAATTTACAAAGCAATTCG